GCAAATGTGTCATAGTGACACATAGTAATAGTAATTATTGTTTTTTGATTTCAGGTTACCTCGCACCTCGAAACCTTCCTAGCACTGGATTCTTCCCGTTCCTGCAAACCTTACTCTGTGACACAGACTCTAAATGCAAAGACACACCTTATGGGCCACAAGATCTGCTTCGTAGGAAAGGGATCGATGATGCACTATTTAACAACAGGTGGGGGCACTTCTCAAGTGTGTTCAATTGTTCAGAGAGATCAAATCTTATTTCCTTATGCGATGACCAGGAAGCCATCCCAGCTTAGGTATACAATTTTATTTTCTATGTCTACAGACGTGATGATCTAAATATGAATGAACGAGGTGGGTACCAGCTGGAATCACCATGTTTATGTGAGATTGAGCATAATCTACTTTGGATAAATTACTCATATTTTGCTTTGTAAGATGGGTGGCCAAGACTGCCTTCCTTTACTTCCCTCAAAGTTTCTCTATCTCACCTTAAATTGTCTGTGACACATTGCCCTAAGGCTCAAGCACAAGCATAAGCTGTCAGAAGTCAGCGTCAGGGCATTATCTCCTGGAAGAATGACATACTTATATTAGTCTATGTGGTACTTCCAGATATAATAAAAATCAGGAAGTGCAAATAAGAAAATTAAGGATCTTGAAATTCAAAGTAATAAAGTTGAACATATACATAATTGAACAACCACCTTTAAATGAGGTTAATGCCTGTCCTATTTTATGGTATGAGAAATACCTGAAGAATGACTAGGGAATCTGGAACATTTATGACCTGATCATTTACAATCTCAATTTTCCTTCCTGGGATTCTAAACTTAGAGACTCCCAGGAGCCTACCTGTCTGTAGAACTGAAAACAATATTGTAATCTTGAATCAATCATGAAATAATTCTGTTACAGATTTTTTTTTAAGTATCTCTCAAGAAAAGACTATTTATCTATAATCTGAGATACTTGGTTCCCAAACTTCAATATTAAATTCCTTGGCATATAGCACAATTTCTCCTTTAACATCATCATTGTGATTTTGGTCATCAAATAAAATGGGTAATACTTTAAGAGTTTAGCAAGCTGTTTAGCAAAAATCATCAACATGTCAAGAATTGTCATGGGAAGTGACTTGGAACACATAATTGTTGGGTTGCTAATTCACATAGGTTTTGTTGTTTCAATAAGTTAATGAAGCTTGATGCTTTAAACAGTCTGATGTTCATTCATTCATTTATTCAAGAAATAATGACTGAGAAATTTCTCAGGTACCATTCCAGGCACTGGAATAAAGAGGTGAATATGAAAAATTTTCTACTCTTTTGTTACCTACATTCTAATGGAAGGGGGAGCAATAAAATAATCAAATAAATAAATAGCATAATCATATGATAATAAATGTGCCAGTAAGAAAATAAAGTTGGTGAAGAGATAGAAGTCGAATATGCAGGGATTTAATAGAGTGTCAAGAGAAGGCCTCTCCTAGAAGTGACATTTGGTTAGGGACCAACAAGGACAAGGAGAAACCAGCAGCAGCATGTGAACATCTGGGAAAGAATGTTGCAGGCAGAGAAACAGCAAATGATCCCAAGACAGGGACAAACCTAACCATTTAGAGGAGCAAAAATCAGCTGATATGGATGGAACACAGCAAGGGATGATGAAGTGATAGGGGTCGTGTGAAAAGGAACACAGGAGACTAAGCATGCAAAATAGATTATGAAGGAAAGGTAAAGGGATTTGCACTGTGTTTTTAGCATAATGAGAGGCCATTGGAAATTTTATTTATTTATTTATTTATTTTGAGACAGAGTCTTGCTCTGTTGCCCAGGCTAGAGTGCTATGGCGTCATCCTAGCTCACAGCAAGCTCAGACTGCTGGGCTCAAGCGATCCTTCTGCCTCAGCCTCCCAAGTAGCTGGGACTACAGGCATGCACCACCATGCCCGGCTATTTTTATATATATATTTATATATTTTTTTTTTTTTAGTTGTCCAGATCATTTCTTTCTATTTTTTAGTAGAGATGGGGTCTTGCTCTTGCTCAGGCTGGTCTTGAACTCCTGACCTTGAGGGATCCACCCACCTCGGCCTCCCAGAGTGCTAGGATTACAGGTGTGAGCCACCACGCCCAGCCCATTGGAAAGTTTTAAGCAGGGAAATGACATGACATAATATCTATGAGAATCGCACATTCTAGACATTTACAAGCATGATCTCAATGAGCACTAGTGTATAATTCCGTAAGGAGACCAAAGCCAGCTCGAGCCTCTTACGTAATCCGTGCAAAGGTGAGATGCAAGGAAGAATGGCGTTCCCTCTCATTCAGTACTGATGGTCTGTGTGTCCATCACCACGTGAGTGATGAAGCAGGCATAATTTACGCTGATGTTCTTGCAAGGGAGGGAAAATATTAAATCAATGGCGATAATAGGAGACGATGTAATGCAGACTGCCAGGGAGATGCTGAAGCCAAACACCCTCCACACTCAATGTAAAAATGGAGCGTTCAGCTGGGGTTACCAGGTAAATCCTCATGAAGAGGTTTACTTGAGATGGACATTTTGTGAACCAAGCCTTAAAGGAGATAGGGGAAAAATTAATATCCATCATTTACAAATTGGATTACAGTTCCACATGGGGCTCTCTTCTGTGTACCTTTTTTTCCTGTGAAGAACTAACTATGAGAAAAATAATTAGCAATATCTAAGAAGTATGTAAACTCTACTTCCCCTCAAAGGAGTATTTTTCTATTTAATATTATAGAAAACCAAACTTATGGGTTTGCGTGAGATAAGACATTGAGTTGGTTTTGGAAGTAGGATTAAAGTCTAGGTTTATTTTATCATTAGTTGATTATTCTCTAGATAGCTGATCATGTCTGCTTTACTTTGATTCTAACCTCTAGGTAGTTTGTCTAGCTTAAGTTGTATATTGCTGTATATTCAGTGTTTTCTCTAAACTACCAAGTAATTGGAGCTTCATTTAGAAAATTATGTACAATCATAAAATTGCATTAATGATATTTCCCACCATGCTATTAACTTTTATGCTTTATATAGCCACACAATGAAACTGGTGCATGGTTTACCAGGTAAACCATTCCACTAAATTGCTTCCCTTTGGTGAAGGAAGATTCACCAGCGTAGCCTCATTAAGAAACAAAACAGGCTTCCTTTTCTGTTCTGTAAGTAAGGAAAGAAATGCCACCTTTGGTCTCATCAAAAGAGGCCTGCCATGTTTCCTTTAGTAGAATGTCCTTCTGAAAGACACGATCACACTGCAGTCACTACTTCCTGGCCAGTCGCCAAGTGTTGTGATGTGATTTTGCGTTTGGCACCAGCCTTCTGTTATTAAATTCATAGTTCTCTAGGCATTAGCTTCAGGATGAGATGCTTTTAAAAAAAAAAATCCAACACTGTACTCAGCATCTACTCTAAGTAGCTGTTTTTCTGAAAAAAGAAACAATTATATTTATGATTTCGTGCTCATTTGCACAACAGATGATCCGACATCACAGACCTTACCCCTTTCTTTCTTCCCTGCACTGCCTGTTAGAATACATCAGCACAGTGGGAGCCCCTGGCTGCGTGCCATCGCTCACATAGTTGGAGATGGCAAAGCTCGCCCCCGAGCTCACACGGTCCTCATTTGGAGGAGTGATTCAGCGTTCCTGCAGACCCTGTGGAGGAACTGCCTCTGTGGATTTGCTCCCTGTTTCTGCTGACACTCACCCACGACCATGGCTTCTAAATTCGTACCTCTGCTCCTATTGCATGGCTCTTGCAGAACTTGAAAAAAGCTAATCAGATTTTATTCAAGGATAATTTTAAGTGCCAAGGCTTTTGTTTAATA